ACGTGAGGTAGAACCATTGTTTGAATGGATTCAAAAATTTCCATACATCTTTGTGGCTCCCTCCTTTTTCCTTCAAACCATCAGTAGTTAAGAAAATGTATAGTAGAACAGAAGATCCATAGAATTAAAAGCCAAATCACGGAAAAATCGAAATCTGAACATACCACGCCTTGGCTAAAATCGTAGTCGATGGAGTACTGGAGTTTTCCCAGATGAACCTCTTCTTTTTCCTCTGCGCCCTCGTTGTCTTCCATGTGTGTTTCAAGCTCTTCCAAGTCATCCTGCAAACACAAAAAAACGTTTTCTCTGTACGGCATCCGATTATTCAATAATGCTTTTGTCTGTTCGAGAAATCTTCGATTTGAGGCCACTACCTTACTTGCTTAAAAGTTGAAACTGGGTTTAGATCGGCTAATCGATCGATTGTTTTGAGCAATACATCTGGTTACGTAACTGCTCAAAATGTTATCTTAAGTAAGTTAACTGATATTCTGAATGAATCTTTGGGATACTGAAATTGATCTCTTATGCGTTTCACTCGAAGACGGAACGTTTTTCGCTTACTGGGTGACGTTTATTATGCAGCAACTTAGCCTGGTACTGCTCAGACTAGTGTCTTGTTGAAAAGCGATTTACACGAGAAAATCTTGGGTGTAAAGACCTGATACACTACCCATTTGGTTGCTGAAAATTCTTCGACAGCCCATGACCGGTTTCGACCTTCTTTGGGCTGAACAAGTGGATGCAGTCCCCGAGTTTCCGTCAACCTAATGTTCTAAAAACATCATAAACGCGAGATTCAGCTGGGCTCCAGGTGAGTCGCCCGCAAAACCAAATTTGTTTGAAAACGAATGCATTTCGCTTGAGTGGAAGTTCAAAAACGAGACTAGAGGTTATTCATCCAGTGAGGGGAAGAAGGTATTCGCTGCGGAGCTATTTATTGGAAAACGCCAAGTGAACAGTTACAGACTATTGGATAGAAAAGCAAAGCTCTCATATGCATCCTGTTTACAAAACTGAATATCCATTTTCTCCTTGAATGCGTCTTCCTGAACTTTCCTGGATATTCATTGACTATTGCTCAAATGCAAGCGAATGCGACTCCACAAATTCCGCAGTAGATCTCACTTTTCAGGAGACGCGAAGCGGGTGTACAAGAAAACATACTACTCACATGCCCCCATCAGTAGTACCACTGTTACAATAGTGCTTGGCATAAATGCTCGCTACTAATCAATGTATAGGAAAAAAACGTTTCATAAGATGGGTAACTTTCACATCGTTTTATGGACCCAGGAAGTTCGTTTCTGACTATGAAAACTAAAGGTCGACAATAGAAGCTTACATTGAAAAAAGCAGGTTTCAGCTTCCCCCCCACACACACACATTACCATCTATGTGACTACAAAAAGATTTAGAGTAAGGAGAGGTTAAGAAAGCTTGCTGAGCGAGATATCTATAGGTTCTGTAAAAGAAAGTATGTTAAGAAAGACAGTTGGGAGTTAAATATGAATTTAGTAAGATCGTGATACTTCTATGAGCAGGCTAGAAAATGAATAAAAATACTTGCCGCTAAAGGGAAGTGGTCCTCTTAGTTGAGTAGGAAGGGATTCTTGATCGTCATCGGCATTGACAAAACGACACCAGTGTTCAACGCCGATACTTTACTGCCGTGAACCGGGACTACTCTCAGAGTGCCAGACTACACCAGTATGTGAGGAATTTGGCGATTTCTCCGAAGAGCATTCAAACCAGTGTAGAGAACTTCTCGCCCTTCGAGAATCCACATAACAAACTAAACAATCTGAAAGGATGCGGTTTTCTTCCTCTCCACTATTCACGTAGCTTCATATGAGGCTCAGTCCACATCACACCGGTTTCCAATTTCTTATCTGGTGAGCCTTGGTTTAACTGGACACGCAAATCCTTACACAAATTGGCAGTGTATGCATACCGAGTGGTGGATGTCGTTGTAGCCACTTAGGCTAAACATGATTGACCACGCTGAGCCACGTGAAGGCTAAGAGACGCCGGGGTCAACCACTCAGTGTGCACTGGCTAAATTGTGTGCAATTAATGTCATAGCTAGTTGCGCGATAGTTCTTAAAGCTAGTTAGAAAGGGCAGAGCTGTAACTGGATGGTTCTCAAAATCATGGTTGAGGCATACGTGGCTTCGTTATCAGCTCGTGTGAGTATGTGATGAGCATGCACCGTCGTTATCGATGATCGAAAGAATGCCTATACAATTCAGGACGGTCGAGAATCGAAGAATAGCACGACACAGCCGAAGAGGTGTCGAATCGACCAGCTGCTGAGGCCTGCCCAACTAAGGCAAATGGAACATCGGAATTGGAAATATCTGGATGACTTATACTACTGATGGAGCATACGAGTAGTATGTGGTCCGGTGCCCAAGCTCCCTCCCTGTGCTGCGTTTTATTCATCGCATTACAATGATTTTGTGGTCATGTGATTATTCTTCTCGTAGAGGTTTTTCCACCATGGTTTGATCCCACCTTACCCGAGAGAACCTTATCCGGAAACAAGCAATGCTAGTCTAAAAATACTTGAAGTTTATGTGGATCTGTGTAAAGAGGGCCTATCCTTGTACAAATAAACCAGATAACCTTTGCGCACACGGGTTGAGCCAGTGGTAAGAGTGCGAATTTACTGACCGGAAGGTCCGTGGTTCGAACCCCCGACCTTTGCCTCTCGACTTCCCCTCTCTAGGCTTGTGCAACCTGGCAGTATCCCAGCCCTCGTGGTTCCTTTGGGTAGCTTAGGAGCTAGGCACCGGAAGGGTGCTACAGCTGAATGTTTAATATACTTTATTGCACTCTTTTCCAAAACTTGAGTTCACCTGTCTTCCGTTCGCATCATTCGGTTTTATATTTGAAAATCTTGCATGTTATTATTTCACGTCCCTATTGAAGTTTGGAACTTGTTCCCCTAGCTTTGAAAGCCACGTGACCGGCCGAATTCAAATCATGTTCTGTCACACCAACATACTAGTTTGACAAACGGATCAATACATCTGATAAGTCCAGTAACTTTTACCCTTGTGTGGTCAGGTGCTCCGTAGGAAATTCTATACACCAGCTACTGGTAGTCCTTTATCCAGAGCACTTTTCCCTAAACGACCTTGATTCATTTTGCCTATGGTAGGAATAATCATACCTAGAACATTCGTTCTTCTGTCAAGCACAGGAAGTATAACTTAGCCACATCAACGCATGTGGAATCCGCTGAAGAAACCAAGAAATACAATGGAGTCGAGTGATCGACTCCAACGATAGTCTGCGTGAACCACCTTCCCATTTGGACTTTTTTGCCGCTGACAAGAAACTAGGGCTAGTGGTTTGGAAAATAGATATAAAAAGTGACACTGACGAAGGGATGATCAGCGAAAGCCTGTTTGAAATTTTCTGCAAGATTTGTTGGTAGCGTGAGGAGATTTGGGGAATTTTTTGTGGAGTTTTCGTCCTGTAAGTGAAGCTTTTTGACGCTGAAAATCGGGGAAGCAATCTATGGTCGCTTTCTGGGAACCATCATCAGTGCACATCTCACAGAACTCCGGAGATTCTCGAACCCCGCGACCTCCTGGCCGGCAGTTTGAACGCATAACCGTTTGAGCGGCTGATCAGCGGTTCTCTAATAAGCGCTTCGTGCATTGTTAAAACAACTGCACCGTGTTACCTCTGGGATACAAATGTGGGAATATTTGTATGCACATTTTTTTCTCTAAGACGATAAAAGATTTTTCCCAAAACACGAGTTATCAGGCACCTCATCAACTGTTCTTCCAAGATAGCCTGGCCGCTTTCCTTGGTATCTCACCAGCAAGACAGACACTGTAAACCGTCTGTTTACAAACTGTGGGTCTGTCAACGATGATGTCTTGTTGGCTGTGATATTTAAAAAAAGGGACCCTCAACGAACGATCCGCAGTAAGAAACCGTCAAGTTGTGGCATCCTTATCTGGTTAAAGCCAGGATTCCCGCGGAACATCACCCCATCTTTCGGAGAAGTCAGTGTTCATTCATGATCTTCAAAATGGCTGCGAAACAGAATACAGCTAAGCATACTCGGATAATGTTCCAATAATTTCTGCCGGCCCAACGTTGAAACACAGATGAGACGATGCAGATAAACTGAGTCCCTCGACAAGGAACTGAAACAAATGTGATAAATGCCACGGATAGATTTTTCCCTCGTGTGCCATTGTTTTCTCTTCGTTCAAGTGAAACGACAGTCCTGTTTGCAGGTGTTTGTTCCTGAATTGTGAGATCTTGAGTAGATTACTCCTCAACCACCAAAAAGTTTCTAAGTGAGCGAGCATTCATTTGTCATAAGCCATGAAACTACAACGAAAGTTCATAACTAACTACCGGGTCTTGTGGTACAATTATCATTTTTGTAGTTATTAATCTGCCGTGTGTTTAAACTGAGGAGAAACAGAAACACGAACGTTTGGAAAAAGCATCTGGCGCCAACAAGAGGACAAACGTGAACTCACCGAGTCCAACAGGTCGTAGAAATTAGAGATTGCAAATGTGTACGAATTTTCGCTGTTTTGTGTTGAAGACATAATATAACACACGTGTTTGTCTGCACACATGCATCCGATATTTTCGACTTCATTCAACAAATTAAGCTCCCCTCTGGCTGATGCTAATTTTGAGTTTGCTGGGTCCCTGTGTGACCTAACACACCCGTTTAACAATGAACATGATGTGACAAGCGCTGCAATCGGAGGTTTTCGTCCTCTGTCGAGACCATATTCATCCGACTGTTTGTCCGCTGTTGCGTATCATACTTGAGAAATGTCGATGGTTGCTCCCATCAGTGATATTTTCTCAGTCTAGCTTGTCTTTCCTGAACAGGACGGCTGCTGACGTTTACAGTTTGGCATCGCGTGTAGTTGGAGCTGCAGCACTACGACAGCTCATCGGAACGCTTTAGAAAACGCAAAATCGCTGTGTTCACAAACACAGCATAAGTGTTCTGCTCAAAACCATTGTCATCAATATATTCCTCCCTCTATTACCTAAGTAAAAATGGCGGTGCTGTTACCAGGTAACTGTAGCGTTTTCCTGTTCAAAATCCTATCAACCTTGCATCGAAACAGAACCGGCGCTCCGATCAAGGTCAAAAGGACTACCCAAGTTTAGTCTTTTAACTATGTGATTGGCATTTGTTGCAAATTCCGCCGGTATCTGTGAAAAGTCATTGGTTTCAGAATAGACGCGTTGTTGTTCAAAACCGCGACTTTCAAAGCTTCACTTGAAAAGTTCCACCCGTTTGGAATCGGTCTGATAGTAAATACTATGTTGATTCCAGAAAAGAAACAAGTTCTGTGTATGTTCCAATTTTTAAAGATTGCGTCTAAAAAACCGCTGGAAGCGAAGCAGTAAATATGCATGTTCCGGGGGGGGGCTTATTCTAGGCTTGTTCTGTAAAGCCAAACAGCCATCCTTGCAAAAATGCATCATTAGAATTGCCCGATATCATCAGTTACATGTGGATAGCAAAAGCATCAGAAATCAGTTATCTCTCACAAACCTTGTCTTTTCCCAGTCCCTTTCCCAATAATTGGACATTCCGCATGTCGGCCTTTCCCTTCTTTCCTCCACGATCCTTTTTACGTCGTTTGAAAACACATCGTTTGCAAATGCAGAAAAGGATGAGGAGCGCGAACAGGATGATCCCGATGACCATTGCAATGACAGCTCCAACGGGAACTAAAATGGAACCAATTGGGGGGGAGGGCGTGAAGGTCACGCAGTCGCACAGATTTGGGGTCAGGAAACACAAAGAGGCTGACTGTGACATGACAAATATTGTTCAAACTAAAACAAACTCTCGACTGAGTTCACCTCACCTCCTGGAGTGAATGCATTGTTCCATCAGTCAAAGTTCACATGGTTTCTGTGCTAAACTTTATTTTAAAAGTAACTAATCATTCCAATCAGGTAAAAAATACTTGAGACCGAGTGAACAGTCATCGGCGGATTGTTGGTAGATTGTACCCAAACTTTTTCGATAACTAATCATTTGTTACGGTTGACAATCATCGTGCAATGTATTATGTTTGAAGGTCTGAGAGCCTAAAAGTCATGAAGGCAGCGAGATGGCCCAAGTGGTTAGAGCGCATATTTACTGACTGGAAGGTTCGTGGTTCGAATCCGACCTCCGCCTCTTGACTTCCTCTGTCTAGGCTTGGGCAACCTGGCAGTATCCCAGCCCTCGTGCTCCCTTCGGGTGGCGTGGCAGTTAGACACCGGAAGGGTGCTACAGCTGAACGCTCCTTCTTCTTCATGAAGGCAGCGCAAGAAAAATAATCTTACGACAGCTAAGGCTGAAGAGTTATCTCCCACAGCCTGAGATGACTGACTGGTTTTCCCCAAGTCGCCTCAAATTTCGATGAAACCTCGTAACATAGTCAACGCAGCAAAAAGGAAAGCGTTGCTCAGCAATAAATCCATAGACTGCTTCCCAAAGTTTTCCAAAAAATGAACGCAGTATCCTGAGTCATGTAAGAGTTGTTCTGGTGAGCAGGAATGCCTTGTTCCGTCGTTTGTCTGACCAACATGATACCACAGATATCTGCTGAACCATAGGTAGATTACATTCAAGGCTAATTACTCTCCGTGGGGCAACGTAGCTCCCCACTGCTCCGGGTTACATATTCTGATAATTTCATCAGGTTGTCGGGGACAGTAACAGCACATGGCTGGGGAAAAATAGTCCACCAAAAGGACGGAGAATAGTTGCGTCATTGTTACCTGAGAGTTCTCATTAAGCCAACTATC